CCAATAGAAATGAATCTGTTATCTTTCTCTACCATTTAACTGCACCAGGTTTTTCTGCAAAGATGTGGTGTTATGTATGGATTTGGATCTGAAATGTCTCAAATTCAGATATTCAGGATCGGTTACCAGAACTTTATGGCACTGATCGGGTTTCTGGGAAAGAGTCCCCAGGGATTTTGTTCTGGTCCTGGCAAAGCCCCGTTGGCAGAAGTTTCACGTACATGAAGCAGACAGGAGTGGGGGAAGTTGCTGTTAGTGTATTCACTGGGGTTTTTCCTGCTGGAATTAAGCAACAAAAAAATTGTCCTCAGGTTTGGTAGCTTCGTTTGTTTCTTAGTTTGTTTTTAATCTTAAAATACGGTCAAGTGAAGTGCTGCTGTGGGATGCTGTAGTCTTCGCAACAGTGAGACAAACCCCAGCTGTGACTCTGCAGTCTGGGAGCACTGCTGCAGTCACCGTGCAGGGACAGAAGTGTGAGCAGTTCATCCTGGGCAGCACCCATCAGAGAATCCCCTGCGATCTGCTCAGGAGCAGGGCTTACATTCTGCTTCCCATGTATGTAAATGGGAGCTGAATAAGACATCAGTAAGAGTTAAGCAGCAATACGAAGTCATTTTTATTGCCAGGTCACTCAGTCCCAAACAAATCAAGTAGGAAAAATGTGTCATTTATCAAGATAACAAACAGGTATATCCTTCACAAAGCCCAACACTCCCTCCAAGGAAGCAAGCCATGCACATGGGACACGACTGCAGGCAGTGTGGCTGGTGTGGTGCAGGCTGTGTAAGCACCTGCTGTGAGCCAGCTGCAGCCCGGAGCTCCTGCTCATGTCTTTGGGCATCTCTGGAGGGAAAGGTCAGGGTCTGCTGCTCACTTTGATCAAGGTAAAGTTGTGACCTAGGATGTGGACTAACAACTGCTGCTAGCAGAGCTTTGTGGACATGTCTGCATGCCAGAGCCTGGGTGGCTAAAAGAGTGATAGAGCTCTGCAGCAGAAATTTCCTTACCATTCTGGTGTGTGGGTTTCATTTCTTGCTCCTCTACTTTTGATGCCAACACTTGTTGAACAACCATTTTGGTCCCTGGACCTCTGGAGAGGATGCTCTGGGGCTGCTCTGCTTGTGGGTGGCACAGACTTCTTTCACAGTTTATATAAGGAGGCAGTAGCATGGGCACTCATGTTTGCAATTGGCTGAGATACATCATTTAATTTAACAAATTAGGAAATGGTGGGCATGTGGTTGTGTTCTCTCATGGTGACTACAGGAGCATTGTTTCCATAAGAAATCTGACCCCAAATTTTATTTCACCAAAGAAAACCCAGAGCACTCTGAAAGCAAATCCAGGGCCCAGCATCTTCTGCTGGGTGAGGCTGAAGGAGCCAGCTTCTCCTGGGGCACTGCGTAATGCAGTGTGGCTCTGTGATTTGGGGTGAGGGAGTGACAGAGAGCCTGTCACTGTTATTAACTTCTGGAGTTAGGCTCCAAATACAATTGCCCCTACGACTACATTCTTCCAGTGTAATTACATTTGATTCATTTATGGAATTCCATGTATTATATCTGTAGCTCCAGTTCTCAGTGTGTGTGAAGAGAAAGTGAAGTTATATTATCACTGCAATTGAGAGGAACTAGGACAAGTCTTATTAATTTCCTGCCACAGAATACTGAGTAAGCCAATATTTTATGGGAAAGTTCAGGGAGAAGAGTAATATATGTTACATTTCTGAATTCTACAGGATACTCAAGGAGTTTTACTGGCAATTGATTTTTCTGCAGGTAAATTGTGACCCTTGATAGGCAGATGGGCCCCAGATACAGTGCCTCTGTGAGATGCCTCAGTGAAGGTGTGATGTGGGGGAACAGGAATGCATCAGCTCCCTTTGGCAGGTGCTAAGGAATGGGACATTTGAAGTCCTGCTGGCAGAAGCTGCCTTCCCCCAGCTAAGGCAGCCAGCACTGCTTTACCCACAGTACTCTGGGTACTGATGGCTCACAGGAATATTTAGCAAACAAGTGTCTGATTAAAAAAAAAAAAAAAAATCCCTCATTTGGCATTTGGTTTGAGAAATCATTTGTCTTTACAGACATTAACTTTTACCCACTATGTCACTGTCCGGTGCCTCTCGTGGTTCACTAGGGAAGACCTGAACACAGTGATGTGGAGGTGATATTTTTCTGTTACCCATAATGAGCAGCAGTGGGATTGGCTATGGCAGCAGGGAGCTCCAGCACTGCTTGTTTCATGGCTGGTGGATATATTTAAGATGTTCCATTAAGCAGCTAGCTATGGAGGGCATCTTGGAGGTGTTTTAAGTGGATGATGTGTGCCTTTAAAATAGAGAGAATCCACTTGGATGTGTCATCTAAGCCAGGCAAGGGCTTGTGGCTGCAGCGTTACGCTTGGGGTTAAGCATGATTCAACTCCCATGCTTCTTCACACTGCTGTTCCACACAGACACTGCAGCCAAGCACCTGGCAGGTGACCAGGTTGTCCCCAGTAGGGCAGGGGCTGGAAGTCCCTCAGCCTGGCCAGGTTCCCAGGCTCTACCAAGGGCATGGGGATGGGAAACACTGCTTTCGTGTCTGCTGGTGTTGTGCTGCAGCACTTGCTCTCTGGTCACTCTCTGATCACTCTGTGCCCCAAGCTGCTGTATGGAGAGGGAGAGCTGGAAAGCGGCTGTCTTCACAGGCTGAAAGCTGCCCATATTCAGATTGAAGGCGCAGTGCCTGGTGCTAAGATCAGCTGCCTTATTGCCCAGACACTGCACAAAGAAGAGCAGATACCTTCTGAAGCACTGTGCAGATGGCAAGGAAGAAAATCTGGTTTTCTGGGGGCTCTCAGCAGCCCCAGAATGACCAATGTGCTGCAGGCAGCGCTACAGAGCACACCTTGGTGCACAGAGCTCTGTTGGGGTATTTTCTCTTCTTTAGATGAAAAAACCAGCTTTTGGATTCGGGCTAAAAAAAGTATTCATCCTGCTAAGTAGATTGAAAGAGAATCCAGATTAAATAAATCATTAAATCATTCCAGAATGTTATCCACCTGTTCTGGCCTGCAATTTATTTTCAGATGAACGTTAGGTTAAAAAAAAAAAAAAAAAGCCACAAGTAATATAGTGCCTTTCCCCAGCAGATGCTTTGGGCCAGAAATGGCATTTGGCCCAAAAGCTGTTCATGCTGCCTTTGAGATTGTGTTGAACCAATTGCTGCAGTCCATTGCTTCATTACCTCAATATCCATGTAGTTCTACAACTTCTGCTCCTTTAAGGAGGGATCTCCAAGTGCTGTGTTTCTCGTCCTGTGAGAATGACAGAATTGTCCCTGCTGCCCTGGGCGGCTCTGCCCTTCAGGGGAAGGACAGCAGGGCACCAAGCAGAGCAAGGGCTGACATCCCGCTCCTTGTCACAGCCGCTGTCCTGGTGTGGGGTGTAGGGGTGAGTGAAGATTTCCTCTCCCACCCTCCAGCAAGGGGAAGCATGAGACCAGGAGGCACTGAGCCAGGCGGTGCCTTGTGTCCAGGGCCATGCCGTGACCCCAGGGACAACAGGAGTGCTTGTGCTGGTACACGAGGGACAGAAGCACAGCGAGCAGGTGCCCGAGGGCAGCGTGGGGGACTTGGGGAAAGCGGTCGGGAATTATGTTCTTCTCCAGCTCTCCCCTACCTCCCTCCCACCCAGTCGCAGAACTCGAGCCCTCCTTCACATCTCCCCGGAGCGCCTTTCTACAGCTTTCTCCTCCCCCCCGGCGCCCACCCCGTTACGAGCCGTCGCTTTTGCTGACCGCAGCAGCCCGCGGGCGGGAGGAGCGGGATGGCGGCCCCCGTGTGCGGGGTGCAGCCCGGAGGGGCCGCCCGGGGAATGCCGCTGCCCCCGCCGGGCCGTGCCGCAGGGCGGGTCACCGCGGGGCCGCAGGAAGCCCGGGGGGGCCGGGCAGAGCCTCAACGTCTCGACCGCACAAAGGCGGCCTTTCATCGGCCCCCGCACCGCCGAGCCCCTAATTGTCTCGGAGAAAAGTTCATTAGCGAGCGCGGCGCGGCCTTTGAGCGGGCGCAGCGGAGTGTGTGCGGCACCCGGACCGCACCGGCGGCACTGGGAGCGGCGGGGGGAGGCCGGCACTGTCCGCTCCTCGCTCCGGGCGGTTGTCGCGGGCCTTACGGCACCGGGACGGTACGCCCCTCTGGAGCCCACCGAGCCCTATCCCCCGATCCGTGCTCCGCTCCCGGTATTTGTTCTCCGTCAATCCGAGCTCTGGTTTTTAATCAAAACAGTATTCGGAATATGATTCCGGGAGATTATATTTGGAGAGATTTGCGATACATATCTTGCCGGCGTGACAGATTGCAGAGGAGTCCTGGGCGGGCGGGCGGGCGGGATAATCTGCATCTCGCTCGCTTGACCTTTAATAAAAAGGGAGGCAAAGTAATAAAAAACACGAGTCTTAAGGCTCCCGGAGGGTACCTTCGTGCCTGCCTTAGCAGCATCCCAAAGCTTCCCGGCCCCGCCGAGCCCCCGCCGCCCCTCGGGGCGCTGCCGGGACGGCTCCGGGGCTTCGCCTCCCGCGGGCGGCTCCGGGCATCCCGTCCCCGCAGAGCCGGGATGGAGCCGCGTGGGGACCCTGCGCTGCGCTCCTCGGGGCGGCACCCGGCCTCGCCGGTGGCACAGGAGGAGCGGCCAAGTCGTCTTTCGAGAACCCTCCGAAAGGGCCTAATACTCTTTATTACAGGCCCTAATCCTTCAAATCCCACTTGAAATAATGTTTATCTTTTTGCAGCTTAATTTCCCCTACCCTAAGCTGCGGGTCACTGCGACACAGCGCGCTGTTACCGCGCCGCTCGGGGTCGCCCCGGGACCGCAGAGCCCCGCGGCCGCGCGCTCCCACCCCACCTCGGCCCGGCCCCGCTGCCCCTCCGCTGCCCCAGTCCCACGTCCGCACCCCCAGGAATTCCCTCCGCTGCCTTCGGTACCTTGGGTAAACATAGAGAAGTGTACTCGATATTCAAGATTGATTTCCCTGATTTATTAAGGCAGAATTCATTGGACTCTATTGACCACAAATGACTTAATGTAAATGCTGACCCCGGTGAACTTCGAAATGGCAGGTATCGGCTTGATCTATAGATGACCTCTTAATTACCGCAGTTATTAATTTAAATTATTGCCACTGCTTCTAGAAACAGGAACAAAGAAACATTCTTTCCTCATCCCTGCTTGGTTTATTAGTTCGAACACAAAGTGTTTGATGACACTTCTAATTAAACAGAAAGAATGCAGAGATGCGGTTTCCCTTTTTCGGCCGTCCCGCGGAGAGCAGCGCTGCCCGGGGCGGAGGCGGCGGCCCGGACCCACCGAGGTCGCCCGACCGCCGCCGCCCCGTCCCCGCCCGGAGCAGCGCCGAGTGCCGCGGGGTCACGGCGCGGCCGGGACAGTGCTGCCGGGGACTGCGCGTCGTGCGCCGCCGCTCCGAGCAATGGAACCAGCGGGTTTGGGGGGAAAGTAACAACAAAAGCACGACGTGGGGAAACGGGAGAAAAGCTGAGTCTCGGTTTTGGTAAAGACATCAATCGCGCGTATTTAACGAGCGGCATCGAGGTCGGAACCGCTACGCCCGCCCTGCGAGCAGCGGTGCCCGCCGTGCCCGGGCCGGGGGCTCGGCGCTGGGCAGTACCGGGTCTTGCTTCAGGGCGAGAGCCTGGCTGGAGCCAGAGCCCCGCCGCCGGCGCTCAGGAAGGAGCAGGCGGCCCTGCGGGAGCGGGGGGAGGGGGAGAGGCGGAGTGAGCGGCCCGGGACGGGCACCTCCGGGACGCGCCCGGCCGGGGCAGCGCCGGGAGCGGGGCGGAGCGGGCAGCCCCTCACCTACCTCACCTCTTCAGCACCGGCCTGAAGGCCGTCCGCAGCCGCTCCAGGCACGTCCCGCCCGGCTCGGCGCCTCCCGGGCCGCCCCCGCCGCCCCGCCCGAAGCCTGCACAGATACACGCAGCTCGCGGGGGCTCCGCCCGACCCGGCCCCGCCGCATCCCGGGCCGCCGGGCACGATTCAGGGCCGCGGGCGCGCAGGAGGCGGCAGCCCCGTCCGCCCCGTCCCCCCCGCCGCCCCGCCGGCGCGGGTACCTTCGCCCGCCGCGTACTGGCACGGCTGCCCCTGGCCGCGGTGGGACGCGCAGCTCCGCGGGACGGGTTGGGGGCTGAAGGCGGAGCTCCGGAACGGGGCCTCTGCGGCCGGAGGCAGCTCCCCCGCCGCCCCGCCGCCCTCCTCCGTACCGCGACCCTCGGGGCTGCCTCTGCGTGCCGCGTTGGCCCCGGCCGTGCGGGCCAGCGACCAAATGCGCGGCTTCTCCGGGGACGCGTAGGGCGGCGGCGGGGCGAGGGCAGCGGGGGCTGCGGAGGGGGCCTGGGGGCAGGGGAAGGCGCGGCACGGCCCGGGCACGCTGCAGGCGCTCCGCGGGGCCCCGGTCAGAGCCGCGCCGGGGCCGGGGGCTTCCTGCAGAGAGCCGGGCCGGCCCTTCGCCGCCTTCCCCGCCTCCTCCTCGTCCTCATCCTCCTCGTCCTCCTCCTCCAGGTCGTCCACGTCGCTGAGTCGCAGCTCCTTGTCCTCCTTGCAGCTCTTCCGCTCTGCTCAACATACAGCGGGAAGGGGCCGCGGGTCCTTAGGGCAGGTGCGGGGCCCGGGGCCTCTCCGCGCCGCCCGACCCGTCCTGTCCCGCCCTGCCCTACCTCGGCCGTCGCTCCCCGCGCCGAACTCCCCGTCGTGCCGCGTGCCGTCCTCCTTTCTCTCTTCCCCCGCTTTGTTCTTGGGAGACCAGGTCATCTTGTTCTCCTTCTTGAGCCGCCGCCGCGCGTTGGCGAACCAGGTGGAGACCTGGGTGAGGGTCATCTTGGTGATGATGGCCAGCATGATCTTCTCGCCCTTGGTGGGGTACGGGTTCTTGCGGTGCTCGTACAGCCACGTCTTCAGGGTGCTCGTCGTCTCCCGAGTGGCATTCTTGCGCCGGGCCGAAGCGGTGAAATCCACTGGCCCGTACCTGCGGGAGCGGCGTGAGGGGTGCCCGACCCCATCCCGGCCCTGCCCGCCCGGCTTCCCGGCCGCCTCCCCGGGCGCTCCGGCGGCGCGGTTACCTGTCGTACTGGTACTGCCCCAGGGAGTGCTCGTACGAGTAGTAAGCGGCGGGCTGCGTGATCCCCGAGTGCAGAGTGCCGGCGCCCTCCTTGATCTCATACTGGGGGTTCTGCAAGGCAAGCGGCAGCGGTGGGACCCCGACCCCGACCCCATCCCCGGCCCTCGACGGCCCCGCAGGGCTGAGACGCGCCGCCGCGGCCGTCGGGCGCTCCCTCGCTCCCTCACTCACCAGCGCGGTGTAGATGGCGGCGGGCTCGGCGCTGTAGGGCAGGTAGTTGCCGTAGCCCTGGCCGGCGGCGTACGGGGCTCCGTACATGCCCAGCGCCGCATTGAGCTCGGCGCGGCCGGGCGCCAGCAGCCGGCTCTCGTACGGGGCGCAGCACAGCGAGGCGGCGGCCGGCGCCGAGGACGCATCCGGGCCGGAGCGGGGAGCGGGCTCGCAGCAGGACGCGCCGGGGCTGCCGGGCACCAGGAACTGCGGCGGAGAGACGGGGCGCGCTGAGCGGCCGCGGGGCAGCCCCGGAGCGGCGGGGGCGGGCGGGGGCGGGGGAGCGGCGGGGAGCGGGGACGCGCGGAGCGGAGCGGGCGGAACTCGGAGGGAACGGTCGCTCTCGAAAATGGCAAAGGATCCGCGCGGTTCCCCCCTGCCCGCCCCCCTCGGTCCGTTAGCATCGATTTCAAGGCAAGAAGTCGCGATTACAGTTAATTCCACAATAGACAAAGCAGTAAATATGTCAGCTAACGCAATCGAAGGCACTCGATTTCAATAAGTTGAAAGGGACGGCGAACTTCCCGAGCGGGGGAGGCACACGCACCTCGCCGTGCTTGCGGCGCCCGAACCGTCCCACCCAAGCCGGGGCGCGGCGCGGGGCGGCGGTGCGGAGCGCCCCGGGGTGCGGGGTCCGACGGCGGCTCCGCGGGGAGCGGCGCCCGGGGAGCGCGGCACGGAGGGACGGAGCGCGCGTGTGTTTGTTTGTTGCGCTTCCGAGTGAGCGGTGGAAGGGGAGCGGGGGCAGGAAGCACCGGTTTCCCAAACGCCTTTCGCTGTGCGAACTGCGAGCTATTTGTTTAAGCCTAACACGACACGAACGAGACATAAACACACACGCACATTTTTTAAAAAAAGGCTCCAGATGTGCCCTTTTAAAAAAAGACTCTAAGTAAGGGAAAGGGAGGAAAAAAAGGGAGGGGGAACAGACATCTGGACGGCAGCAGCGGAATCTGAACAAAAGTGAGTGCTGCTCACTCGCCTTACCTGCGAAGTGGTGCTGTAGGGGTATCCGAACTGGGAGAAAGACATAGCCGCTCCTTATTTTTGGACCATAGGCAATATTTTCCCCCCAAGATCGATTGTAACTAAACCCCGCTTCAGGATGCACCTTCTCACACACACATTTCCACGTATGGCTTTTTTTTTTTTTTTTTTTTTTTTGCTCAATTATAGATGATTGCACTTAAGAAAAGCAGCCCGACATCTGAGGCGGGGGGGGCTCCCTGCCTGGGTTAAACAAAAATAAAATCGGCTGCCCCCCGCTTCCCATCGCTTTGAATAAATATGTTTGGATAGAGAGAGTTTAAAAAGCCACCCCACATGTATAAAGAGTTTAAGTGCAAAGGGGCTTTTTTTTTTTTTTCTTTTTTTCCCCTCTTTTTGAAGGAGGGGGGAAATCACGTCGGGCTCGCAAGACACGGACCCGCTTGGTGCATTATTTTCTGCTCTATAGGTCTCGAGCGTTCCGCGGTGGGCGAGGAGCGGGCGGGCTGACGTCACGGGCTGCCGGCAGCGGCGGGCAGCGGCGGGCAGGGCAGGGGTAGGGATAGGAATAGGGATAGGGACAGCGACGGGGGAATGCAATGGGGCAGGGGCAGCTGTACGGGTAGGGATGGGGAGCGGCGGGCAGAGGCAGCGATAGCGGTAGCGGGTGCGACGGGGCAGAGGCCGGCAGCGCCCGCAGCCCCGCGGTGCCGTCCCGTTGGGGCGGAGGCAGGCAGCGAGTGTTTCCCTGTTGGTCTCGCTCCTTTTATTTTTTAAGCAATCCGAATTTGACTCCGGGGGAAAAAAAAATTGTGATAAGGGGAGAAATCGCGGCACTGAGTGAGCTTGTTTCCCCAGGGCTCGGACGGAGGGCAGGCGGTGGGCAAGCGGCTCCGCCAGACTCCCGACGGCATCCTATTGCCGTCCGATCCCCGGTTACCTCCGCAGCGGAGCGGAGCCGGGCCCGGGTCGTGCCTCCCTAGAGGAGAGGTCGGGGCGGGTAGGGGTGGATGGCTGCCCGCAGCCCGGCCCAGTCCGCACAGCAGCGCCCAGCGGCACCGATTAATTGACGGCAGCGGCCATCGTGCGGGTTTGCCTTTGAGGCGACATCCGCGGGTGGTAAACGGGGATCCCCCTGCGACGGGCCCGGCCGCGATTCGCTTTCTGGGGGAAACGAACAAAACTAGAAATTGAAAGGGGGAAAAGAAAAAAAAAAAAAAAAAAAAAGGTGAAAAAAAAAAAAAAAGAAGAAAAAAGAAAAGCCGACAACTTTTCCCCGTTCCGGCGCTGGGCCCGGCGGGCGGCGGCCGCTCTGCCCGTCCCGCTGCCCGGTGCCGCCCGGTGCCGACGGGTGGCGCTGCCGAGCTGCGCGCCGGGCCGGGCGGGGCGCTGCGCGGGGCTGCGGGGCGGCTGGGAGCGTCCTGACGGAGCACCTCTGGGGAGCATTACTGCTAATTATTTAATTGCGAGAATCCCTCTGGGGGAAATTATGCTAATTATAAAGTAATAAAACCACTTGTTCTAAAGCACTTCATTCAGCAAAATTGAGGGTATTTTTCCTTCTTTTTTTTTTTCCCTCTTTTTTCTTTCATTTGTTAATTTATTCATGGTTTTTTATTTTTTATTTTTTTATTTTTTACCAGCACGTGTGTTGTCTGCCCAAAGAAGCAGGCATTGTGTATTCCAACTTTAGTTGTGCGGCCAACCTGAGTGCATCTCTGGCTGCTGGGCATGCTCAGCTGAGCCCAGCTGTGATCCATGGCCATGCTCCTGCAGTGCTTGGCCCTATGGAAGTGTTTTGCCGCACGCTCCGTTCCTCCCTGTGCCCAGGAGCTACCCCATGAATTGCCCTTAGGCCCCGGCTGCGGCCAGCAGCAATGAGGGCTCTGCCTTTTCCCAGCTGTCTGTGAGCAGCATCTTGAGCTCAGCCTGGTTCTGTGCTTTGGGAAGCAACGTGCAATTTGCTACTTTCGTTGCAGGGAAACAGCTTCGATTCCATTCTGCTGCCTCTCAGAGAAGCATAACTGGTGAACTGGTGCTGTAAGAGGTCACTGCAGATTTCTCTTTATCCAAACTCATGCCATCCGTGCCCCACTTAAGCTGTCCCCACATGTGCCCAACACAGTGCCTGTTCTGAGTTGCCCAGCCAGGGCTGTGACTGTGAGCACAGGCAGATCCACAGCAACCCCCTCAACTCACAAACTTCTGTTCCTAACAGAGAGGAGCACAACAGTACACATTTCCCCGAGCTCTTCCTCTAGAAGCAAGGCAGGAGTTCAGATGCAGCCCACATTGTGATTTTTGGTGCTTTTACAACCACCACCATTTGTTTTAGCTGTGATACCTCTTTGCTTAGAGGTAATTGAGAGGAGCAGTGCATGCTTTGCAGCAACACAAACACAGGCGCCGATAACTGTGAAGGAAATAATAAGTTAATTGACATAAGCGTTAGAGCAGCGGCTCTGGGAAGGAAGAATAACGTTCTGAGAGAGGCAGGAACAAAGCAGCTTCAAAAACAAGCAGCAGAAATGTGGTGGAGAATAAAGTCTCTTTATATTTTAGAATATGGGGGGATTCTTTTGGCCGCATCTTTTTTTTTTGTACTGAGAAAATGAAAATTCTTCAAGTCCATGCATGAATAAACAAGTACAGCTGGGCAGCATAATACATAATTTATACTGATCAGTCATTGTAGATTTAACTGAATAAAGCCAAAATGAACACTAATTGTTTTGACAAACTAAAATAGTGTATATGATGGTGCATTGTGCAGCTCGCTGGGCACTGCCCTTATCTCAGTGGCTATTGTCAAGACCGATTTCTGCATGAGAGGCAGAAAAAGATGAAACAAATTAGGACAGTATTAAGATTAATATCTTGTTGGAGATAAAGCATTTTAATTGCTTAGCATACAAGCAGAAAATAGAACTGTTTTCAGGACAGAGGGGAGAACTGGCACAGAGAAGCGTGGGACACACGCTGGTGTGGGGCAAGATGTAATTGGGAGGATAAAGTGCTGCCCTGTGAACTGGGGGAGAAACACGAGGGGCTGGGGGGCTTTTTTAGAGCAACTTTGGAACACAGTGGGAATAACTCTGGTTGTCTTTGGGCATTCATACTCCAGAAGGGATCATCAAAATGGTGTTGCTGGCTAGCTGTGCACCTATGGCAATTGGAGGAGCTGAATGGTTTTGCTCCACTGGTGTCGGATGCTCCTGCACTCTGCCACGGTGCTGGGAGGGTTGTGAGGAGCACAGAGGGGAGGGGCAGTGACAGCCAATGGAGCCATGGGCAGTGTGGTGGCCTTGAGTGGACCTTCACTTTGCTTGGCCACTATGGAAAGGCTGCTTTGTTAAAGGAGCTGTGCAGCAGGGTGATCCATGGCTCCTTTGGCACAGCTGAGCTGGATGCCAGGCTCACCTGGTGCTGCTGGGCACCACACCATGCAGTGTCTCCTTGGCCTCTGCGCAGCTGCTGTGCTGCTGGAGAGAAGGGGCAGTCTGGGTGAGTGGGCTGCTTCTGAGCTGGAGGCTCTGATCTGTATTACTGCAGGTATCGTTCATCATCTTTGTTCTGTGGCAGTGAATGACAGTTTTATTCCATTTCCTAGTCTGCTCGCTGTAATTTCCAGGATCTATGCTTTAATTAGTGTGCCGGTTACATGCGATGGTGCCTTATTTTCCATGAGTTATCACCAGCTTACGTGCCCCATTAAACATGGGGATTGGAGCTGCTGCCTTATTTACCTTCATTTGTAATTTACCAAAACCCAGCCGTGTTTGCTGCACACTGGAAAGAGCTGCTCTGATAGCTCATACCAGAAACCAAAAGCACTTAACCTAGGACACCTCATCCCAGCCCATCAAATCAGCTGTCCCCAAGGAGCCTCTCCCTTAGTTCAAGCCTGAGCGAAGGGCTCAGCCTGCTGCTCCAAATAGATCTGAATCTGCCCCTGAAGGAAGGAGCAATGAGCAGGAGCAGGAGCCCTGCTGTCACCCTGAGGTCCCTTGGTCCCGGTGCCGTGCACACAGGATGCATCCCCACATCCTCCAGTGCCCCCGTCCCCCTCCAGCCATGTTCTGGAGGTGCTGAGGGCTGGGCCAGCTGCTTGGGGAGGCAGGGACCGCTGGGGAGTTCACACACAGGCAGCGCTAATCTACAATAAATCTCATAAAATCAATGAAAATATGGGAAGTATATCATTTTTAAAGAAAAAACACATGAGACGTGGCCATTAAGGGCACAACCATTCTAATACCTGTGTCTGGTTGGAACTGCAATTAAAAACATTCCAATAATAAATCTACTCTCAGTCTCACTTAATGCTTTTAACTTTCTTGAAAGTTCAAGCTGGTATCCCAAAAATGTGCCAGAACTTTCACAATGTATTTTATAGACTCATAAATAAATATGGCAATTAATCTAAGCTATATTTCTTTCGTATCCGATGACAATTTATTATGACACTCACTCATTCGGTGCACAAAAACTCTAATGCACTTAAAATCGGATTTCAAACCAAACGTTTTATGGGAAAATATAGTATTGATCATCCATTTAAAGATATCATGTGATGATTCATAACCTGCTATAAAAAGGATCTTACGAGGACATTCAGAATGAGTTCTGTGGACCATTCTCACCACAAAATCAAACTTACGAGCTCTGTGGTTCTCGGTGATGTTTTATATTTCTGTTTGGAGTTTTCACCTCTAACGTGATGGTGGTTTATGGCCGATAGCAGCACTAAAATAAAGCATTTTGCCTATCTATGTGAACGTTAAATATGTAGAGACTAATTTGTTAAATATATACCGGTGCTTCTCCTCAGATTTACAACATCTACTCCTTTCAAGGATAATTTCCACTATTTGGGGTACATTAATCCCACGGTCTGTGCAATACGCTTCTGCTAACGGGTCCGTCAAGGAGGATAAAATAGGAAATGGTTCTTTCTAGCTTTGTAACCAATTGGTGTCTGCATCTGTGGATGTGCCAGGTCCCTGCCCTGCCCGCTCTGCTCCCATTGGGAATGGTGCTGAGCAGCCCTGGGGCTCGGGGCGATGCCCTGCACGTACCTGTGCAGCAGTTGGTGGCAGCCAGCGTTTCATCTCCTCTCCGAGGTGCTTAACAGGGTGATGTTTTCCCCTTTGAACAGCACGCAGTCCTTGCCAGCCTAATTATTTTGCAGATATTTCTCCTTGATGCACAGGCTTTGGGTGGTGACACCAATGCTTGGAGAGACAGCAGAAGGAAATAAGGAGTGAAGGCTGAAGCACTTGGTTAAAGAAGAGTCTCATTTATAAATCAATTTTAATAACATATTTAAAAGCTCTCACATTTGCCTTTAATGTGTTTCCATTTCCCCCTTGGTCATTAATATTTAAAATATTTTTCTTTACTGATCTTTTTTCTATTGTGTCCTTTCTAACTTTCCTTTCTCTCTTTAATCTGCAAATAGCGAGTTTTGGAGAAATGCATAATCCATGAGAAATCCAGATAATGTGATACGAGAAAAACCTTCAATCCCATGAAAGAAATTTCAGAGGAGTTGAGTAATTGTTAGAAAGTTGTTCCAAACATTTTAACTCATAAAAGGGTATTGGTTTTCCTGAAGTGACTTTCAGAATGAGGAGGCTCATTTTGACAGTAGGAAGTGGCAATCAGCAATGATCTTTCTGAAATCTCTGTCTGCAGGCATAATTTCTCAGCCCTCTGTGTGGTTTCATTCCTGGGATGAGTGATGGGAGTGGGATTCCTGGCAGCACCCAGGGTCTGTAGGCCAATGGCTTCCCTACATCACCAGTGGGGTTGGGATTCCTTGGTCATACACCTCAGTGGTGGTCACCTCTTCAGATGTGCTTCTGAGATGGCCACAACGCCAGAGTGATGGCACTCACATTTTCCAAAGAAGATTGTTTTCCTTCTCAAAAAAGGAGAAAGAAGAGCCTGGATTTTCCCTTGGATTTTATAATTAAGGTTAAAATGCAGCTGTGGTGTGGATAACTGCAGCCACAGGTGAATTTAGGCCACTTGAATTGCAGGTTGCCCCCAGCTGAGGGCAATTCCATCTGTGTTGGAGAAGGGAGGAGACCCTACATGGGGGCTGTATTGAGGGGGTGGGGTTTGTGCACCTGAGATAGGAGGCTGCAGTGTGGGACAGTAGGGATATGGGAGCAGGACCCCATGGCTGTGGGATGGACTGTTTAAGGTGAGTGTCTCAATACAATGTCCTTGGTGTGCTGAGGGAACCACTGTGCTGCATTCTGGGGGTGGAGGACACCTCCTGAGGGCTCAGATCCATGGTAGGAGTCACTGCCCACCTTGGCTGGGGGGTGTTGTGTAACTGTGGTGCTGTGTCAGCTGTGTGTGCTCTCCTCTAGAGGCAAAGGGAGAACTCCATCAAGTGTTCTGTTTGTGTGGAGTGGGATGGCTCTGCAGGCAATGTGGTGAAGCTTCTTGTGGGATGGATTGGTGGCTGCTCACCAGAGCCTCTGGGAAGGGTTTTATGCGTCTGTCTATGTGGCTTAGTTGTTATTTTTATTTCATTTACTACTTTAGTTGTTAATTTACTTTGCTGGGGAAGAATTTATCCTTGTCTTGACTTGTGCTGGCTGTTATGTTTTTAAACATACGCACGCTATTCTTGGTCCATTATTCACCTTCATGATTTGTGAAGGGGAGATGAAGCAAGTATGTGAAAATGAAACAAAGATGGGAACGTGCAATGCTTCTTATTTTCAAGGGGAAGTTAACGTGAGATGTTTTCTGACTGTTTTAGCAGCTCCTAGGGAAGGGGTGCAGCCCACGTGCCTCTTCTGTGTTTCCTCCCCTTTGTGTGAAGTTGTGTTGTCTATGGAGTGGCTGAGCCTAGTGCCATTGCTCTGCAGCAGCCTGCTGAAGTGGCCCTGCTGGAGGCAGGAGTGAGCAGGGTGGTTGCTGGAGCAGTATCCAAAGCTCAGATTAAAAACAAAAAAAGCACTTGAAAGCACAGTGCGTGAGCTCCAGAGGAGATGGCTTGCACTGGTGTAGGAAGCATGGCCCCCCAGTATTGCAGGATGGCACTTTGTTTTAGACAGAATCAGGTGAGTCTGCTCCTGTGCTGTTGATTTGTCCCTTGTTTGCTCTTACAGCCTAATCTGCAGCTGCGTTGCTGGGGTCTTCAGGATACATAGGGACATTACTGGGAAGGCCTTCAATACCAAAGAGATCCAAAAAGCACAAAAGCCAGAATCCTGTAAGAAGCAGACCTGGTCATTAGTGCACTGTGGTGTTGCATCCGGGTGGCTGCAAACCCAGCAGGGGAGCTCTTTGCAGGGTGCTGCATGCTGCCACTGTTAGGCTGGTATGAAGCCAGGGCCTATAAGGGAGTGTAATTATGGAAACCTTGCCTTTGTTATTAGCACTCTTACCCTAATAATGTTAATGTATGGTCTACAAATATCACATCTCATGATGCTGGTCCAGTGCGAAGGTACTGCTGTCACTTAGGCTGGCTGTTTCTGCTGTCCTTCAGCCATGCAGCCTATCTTGCCACTGGGTCTTGGGATTTCTCTTGAGCTGTGATTGCCCCAGAATAGTTTCTCCTCTTGTGTTTTCCTGTGAGTGGTGCTTGTTCTCACGGAGCTCAAGGCACTTGTCTGCTTTTTCAGAGTTATTTTTCCTTGGGACATTTAATTATTAAACCAGAAAGAAGGGATTGTTTTGGGGAAGGTGCAGGGAAGCAGAGCAGGTGACTGAGATCTTCTGGTTTAGCATTAGCCTAGAGTTGCTGTTGCTAACTGCAAGCTTCGCCATTAACTCATGCTGAAGTACGGGGCCATTAACCTAAGCTGATACATTTCGCCCCCAACCTTGGCTTCCACATGACACAGGAGAGCAGCAGACTTGGAGCAAGGCCATGACTCAATCCAGGTGTGAGGAGCTATCAGAAGTGAAGTATGTGGAGCAGAAACCATGTACAAAATCCCGATGTGTCTGTTGTGCCTATGCCCACCTTCAGTCTGAGTTGGGCTCCTAACGAGACCTGATTCAGATGCATCATTGCATGGCTTCAATGAGGTCATCTTAAAATTGGTTTCCTGAAGTCGTTGTGGTGTTTCCCCATGTCAGCCCCTGGGAGCACTGGCTGCCAGCTGTGTACTGCTCCACAGCACTGAGCCCAGGGGCTGGAAGGTGGAAGAGGAATAACACAAACAAGCAGGGACCGACATGAAGAGCATCATGGATCTGGGCTGCTGGTGAGAGGCACATCAAGCTGTCAGTAGATAACTATTTTCCCGGAGCTGAGAACAGAGAAGCATGTGACATTTCAATTACCAGTGTTTGTATTTAAATGTAAATAAGTGGCTTGTTTACTCTGTAATTCAACAAACCTTATAATTATGATCTTATTATGATATTTTTACAGCACTTGCAGCAGCATATGGCACTTCAATAGGCAAGCAAGGCAAGGAATGGAATTACAGATTTCTGTGATGTTTTTGTATTTGTGGCTCTGTTATAACCCCTTTGTTTCTAAATACCTCATTTCTTAATTTGGCAGTTTATATAATTGGAACGAATTTACATGGAACAGAACTCTGAGCCTTGTGATTGGGTTACTGTCTTGTCCTTCATCTGATGTAGGGCCTTCTGCTGGAAAACCCAATTTCAGGTGACCCAACAGTAGTGCAGAGAATTGCCCAAGCTGAGAGGTCATTAGGGACTGGGTGGGTCAGTGCCTTATTAGTTATTTACTATTTTGGGTCTTGCAAATGCTGCTGTTGAGAACACTGTGCTGGTAAGGTCTCAGACTGAGATGAGTGCTAAGGCTGTAGAGCATTGATTCTTGGCAAGAAGAACTGGCTGCCTGACTTCTGTGTCCAGGTTGGTTGAGAGTTGTATTTGGCTCACAGTGTCAGAGCCAGATGCTGGTGGTACGGCAGTAGAAATTGAACCTTGCCACCAATAGTCCATTACATGTGTGCCAGAAATTACACCTGCTGATAGTCATGGATGCTTGCTGAACATTTAAGGAGACCAGCCAGTGGATGTGAACACAGTGAGGTGGAAGGTGGTGCATTTCAGCTTTGGTGCCACTGATAGTGGTTCACCTGTATGTTGCAGATCTGTACAGTTGTACAGATTTGTTGTTTTTGCAGAGCTAGCACTCAGTTTGTTCACTTTATACCTCATGTCCTCTAATGTACCAGAGAATTAAATGCTTCCATGTGGCTCTCCAGTTGAGTAGAGCTGCAGGTGAGGCTTCCTGTGCCCATGAGGTGTAGCGCTGCGTTCCAGGGCATGGACTCGAGGATCTCAACTCTGCAGCTGTTCGTTTCAAGGCAAGTGTTGTACACAATATATGAAGTGTAGTGTAAATAATTTAACTAGCCTTTGAACATGGAAATAGATACATGATAAAGTAGCAAAACATAACAAGTTCCCAGCCAAACACATCACTGACTGGTTAGCCTTGCTAAAACAAACTTCTTTTTTTTTTTCCTCAAGTGAAACTGATTTAAATGCAAGGAAGAGGCTGCAGAAAGCTGTGTTTACACATTAACAGCACTGTGGTTATTTGCAGCTGCTGTAAGTTTTCCACTGACAGCTGATGGGGCAGTGTGTGCTCAGGAAGGGAGCTGTGCTGGGTGACAGGCAGTGTCCCAGCCCCCAGGAGGTGATGCAGCAGCGTGGGGCCATGGGGAGCCCCCAGACCGCGTTCTCAGCTGCAGTGGCCCCACTAGCCTCAAGCTGCTCTGGGTCTGCTCCTTCCATATGCCTCATTTATTTATGTGTGAGATCTAGGGAAAATCATTTTTCTTTCCAAAACATACAGTATTAATTTTTACTTCCCTGCCAAATAATATTGCTCCAGACAAATGAGCTATGTTTGTGCTGCGGACTCTCTGGAGTTTATGCCTCCATTTCTAATAACACATGCAGAGCCAAATGTTAGAAGTTGGTGTGCTGTTGCACCAGGAATTTATTTAACTGGGAAACTGATTGGTGACCCAATGCGTGGCTACAGCATGCAGGGATGGAGCTCTGCTGCAAGGCTGGAAGCACATGGAGTAGCCGTGCACAGCACTTCCCTGTTGAACATCTACAGCTTGTTTGAGCTCTCATGGCAAATTATCCTACAAACAGGAGGGGAATCAACTCTTTGAAAGGGTTGATAACTGCAGGACAAGGGGAAATGGTTTTAAGTTGAGGGTGGGGAGATTTAGGTTGGATGTCAGGGAGAAATTCTTTACAGAGAGAGTGGTGAGGTGCTGGAACAGCTGCTCAGAGAGGCTGTGGATGCCCCATCCTTGGAGGCGTTCAAGGCCAGGTTGGATGGGGCCCTGGGCAGCTGGGTCTAGTATTAAATGTGGAGGTTGGTGGCCCTGCATGTGGCAGGGGGGTTGGAGCTTCATGATCTTTGAGGTCCCTTCCAACCCTGGCCATTCTGTGATTCTGTAATCTTTTTTTTTTAGATGCCAGATTCTCTTCTTGCTCATCTTATTTTAGACATTAGCTGCAGTGTATGCGGAAGGCAGATTTGCTATTGGAACTATCAATAAAACATAGTTTGTATGTTAAATTAGTAATCATGAAAAAGCTCCCAAGGTTTTTATCTCCTTTTTTTTTTCCTTTTACAATTATCACAAAGCCAGTTTTAGTTTTTTGTTGTGGTGGGAATGTGTGCTCCCACAGCTCCAGGACCTGCAGGGTCCCCCTGGGCCCTATCGTTGTCCCAGGGTGCCAAGGGCAGCATGAACTAAAACCTCATAATGATGAAGTTAAAGGGCTCCAGGTGCTCTCTGAGGCTGGCAGCTGCCCATCCTGGGCTGTCCTGCAGCATGGTGAGGCTGGGAGGCACGGAGGTGGCTGGGCTGTGCCCTGCTTCCTCCCTGCTGCAGGGCAGCCCTGCCTGTGTGCTAGAGGCTGGGGTCCCTTGTGCAAAGCTTCTCTGGGTGCTATTCTGTCTTTCTCTGAGAAACTCTCTGCTTTCCTTTTGAGGCAGTGTTTTCTGGGAAGTTGGGTAAAAATTGAGGAGACCTTTGAAAGTGATGATGCTTTGAATATGTTAGCTGTGATTTTCTTTTTAAAATTTATTTGAATGCTTTGGGGCTCAGTTTTAACTCCTGGAAAACTTGGGCTAGAGACTTAATTTGTTTTGTTTGGCTGAGCCAACTGAGAATTAGGATGTCTGGGTGTATTTTGGAGAGAAATATGAGGATTAAA